ACTTTATTAATCCTGATAAGAGAATCAATAAAGTTCTATTGTAGAAAAACTGATCCCATCTTTGAGCTGCGTCGACTAGAAAGGTACATGATGTGCTGACAGGAAGTCTCCTCAGTGACAATGAACAGAGACACACAGGGATTAGGTGAGGTTACCAAAGGAGGAAACGTGATTCACTGAATAATTACAGTTACAGAGTCTGAACAGAGAAAGTCACCAAGATATGGCTTGAATTTGAAAAACTGACACTCCGATGTTGATACCATTCATCTCTACTGCTGTGAACATCTTGTCTTGCCTGAGGCTTGACAGAAAGCAGATCACATGCTAGTGACAAAGTAGAGACAATGAATGACTTTAAGACACATGTCTCTGGCCCAACTGTGGTGATGTGCATTTCATGTAAACCAGAGAACTGAATAAACGCACCAAAAAAAAAAAAAAAAAGACAACGGGACACAGGAAGGTTTAAAAATGCATAAACCTCTTAAGCCACTCTGCACAGACATTAATATTTATATATGCTTGAAGAAATGGAAAGGAATTTATAGCCCCTTACCTGAGCGGGCCTGTTAAGTCTGTGAAACCTCTGATTTTGTAGAATTGCAACATTTTGCTGACATTTATCTTACTTAGCCGTTCGTTTTTTTAAGTGCAACAAAAAAAACCTATGAGGTTACACACAAGATACTGCATCTATATCCTTCACTGATCCAACAACTGGGAGTACAAGGCACAAAGGCATGTCCTTAAAATATAACAGTAGCGCATCCTGGGTCATGCTTTTCTAATATGCAGGCCTGTATCATTAAATGTTTAGCTCTGAAACATTCCAAGGAGGCAAAGGGAAGAGAATCTATTGTAAGTCCCATGGGTCAGATACTGTTTGTGGCCAAAGTGAGAGACATACGCATACAGTGAGGCTTTAGTTTGCAAAACAATGTGCTGTAGCTTTGTGCCAAATCAATTTCCTACTTTATTTCAGACTCTGTGTTAAGCACTGTGTTAATTAACACCTGCTCACGTGATGTTAGGGCCTACTGCTATTCTTAGTCTGACCTATTTTTTTAATTTAAAATTTTTATTTATCTGTGGCTGCAAATGGGTACAGCTAATGTGACCCAGCAGGATCAAGATAATCACCTCCATCCATGTCACTCTGTTGTAAAAACATGCAGCATCCTGTGACTTCAGTATCAATTATGCAATTAGGGGTTGTATAAAGGCTTCCCTGCTGTGTTTAACCAGAACCTATTCAATAAATCGCTCTACTTGCTCTAATAGATTCACCCTAATAGAGTGAATTTAACAGACTGAATGTCCTAAAAAAATAATAGAAAAATATTTTTTGTACACTGTTTTTTGTCCATAACTCAAGCATGTGGAGATCCGACAGCCTATGTAGCACAGTGCTTAAAGACGTGGTCAAATGTCAACATGATCTTACAGTGCAATGTGACACTGCAAGATACATTATATGAAAGAAAACTATATATAACATTTAACACACACACTGTAGCCATAATTAAATATTGACCTAAGTAAATAAGTTGAGCAAATGTATTTCCCAAAATGTCTAACTATTCCTATGAATTACCCCATGTCCTCTCTCAGAAAAAGGAGTAGAAGTAAAATACCAAATAAATAAATTTAAACACATTTTTATAAGAAATAACTTTTCATCATATTTGCTGAAACTTGCACTATATCCTAACAGTGGTTCATAATCTGTGAATAAAATCAGGTTCCTCTGGCTTTTCCTAGTGTTCCTACTGGCAATGGCAAGATTCCACAGCACCTAACAAAAGCAACCAATCAGAGCCAAGAAAGATAGTGGATTATTGAGTCTCATTCCCAGGTTGTCAAATACCAATGTTTTGGGTAAAATAGCAATATACTACTACTGTCAGGATAGTGAACGTTTCAGCAAATATGACAAAACGTAACCCACTGCAGCTTTAATTGCCCTTTAGCCTGCAGAACATTTGGCACAATTAAATCTGCTTTTGATTCACGAAAAGTGCATGTTAAGGCTAAGCATGCAATGTTCAAACACGTCATGCTGCAGTCCCATGCATCACTGCCATAATCTACAGAGACTCTAATGTTCTTTCACATGATCTAAAGTGCCTTAAAGAGCTCCATACAACAAATTCTCAAAAGCCTATTAAAATTCCTGTGTGACTCTTGTGTTCTTTCATATATGACAGTTGATCACAGTTGTCTATTACATTCTGCCACAGTGGGACTTGAGGTGGAAAACAGCTCCCAAGACACTGCAGTCAGTGTGTGAAACAAGTTGTACAATATTTTCTGCTCTATGACTTTAGAGTGGAAAAACTGTAAAACTCCCCCATACTGTTTTTTCACTAAAACCACTACCATAATGTGGAAAATAAGCATAAAAGGATTTGTTCACATGCAGTGTCACATTAGAAAGTAAATGTATTTGACAAACTAACACTAATCTACAGTCCATGCGGTGTAAAAATAAATTGAAACTTATTTATAATATTGCTGACAGTGCAAGAATTAAACCTGTACAATCTGCTGTCAGACAGACTGATTCATGTAATTATCTCACAGGAATCAGTAAAAAAATCTGCCACCTGTTTCATTCCACTTCGGAACTGCAATCTGTTTAATAATGTGGCTTATTTTTCCCAAGGGGGTTTATTTCCTCTTTGATTCTCGTACTCATTTGATTCGTCTAACCTGTAAAAACAGCAGGAGGCAAAAAGAGTAGCGCAATTATGTCACCTCCAGTGAACACAGAATGCTATTATACTCCAGTGCATTTGACAGGCATATTGTTTGATCAGAAGATCAGTTTTACGGAAATATTCAATCATTGCAGTCTCAACACAATATCTAATCCTCAGCTTGTCAGAAATATTACACTTATCCACAAGGGCATCAACAAATGAAGGTTTACGTCAGGAAATGTGCTGTCATGCAGACTCAGCGGATTATTGCAACTTTGAATGACGCTATAAAATGGATAGGCCTACTACATGTGTTACCTGTAGCCTACAGCCTTACAAATATATATGTAATAAAATTTAAAAAAAGGAACAGCCAGGTCACATTTCGGCAGTTTTCAATTTCTATGTGCTACCTTGAGCTGAGAATCTTTTCCTGTAAGATCATAACAAGTAGTATGCAGCACTTTTGACAATTAATAGGCTTTCATAAACACAGCTATGTATCTGCACAAAATAGCTTAAAACAAACAAAACATGCCCAATCCAAATCAGTGAAGCAAAAGGCTAAACTCTGTCGTATAGCTGCCTACGTCCTCATGCTTGTGCAGTTACAGCCTTACGTACATATTGGTTCTGGCCAATCATTTTGTCTCAGAACCTTTTATAAACTTTTTTAAATTTGAAAATATTTTATTACTGTGCAGCTAACTGCTACTACTAATAAAAAAATATATGTTCATTATTATCAGGCAAAAACTGGAGGGGAGGGGATAAGTTGCAGGACAGGGGGGCACAGAGGTCATCCAGGGTCATTAAATGTCTGCCCATAGTGATAACTGATACTGAGACACCAGCAGAGCAAAGGGTGAATCAATGCAGCAAGAGGTGACTAGGCACACAGCAGGGTGTGTGTGTGTGTGAGAGAATGTGTGTGATGGAGGGGTTAGTGGGTAATGACGCTACACCTGAGCCTGTTACGAAGATAACAGCTCTGTTAAATGAAAAATCAGACACTTTTACACCGCCACCCCGAACCCATACGCCACGATGCATCACAGGAGTTATTTTCTGCTGTTATTTTGTGAAATGAACACTGTAATTTACTTTTTTGAGCGTGTCAACAACAACTTCATCAGTCTTATGATTAATACAGGAGTTACATAATGTGACAGTGTTGGTGTGACAGACAGTTGTGATATGCTGTTCTCAGCTCTTGGTACAGTTTTGCTTTGGAATTACTCAGCCTTTCAAGCCAGCAGATACAAAAAAAAAAACAACATCCCTTCAGCTTATTGTCCAAATCAACAGCAAGTTCAAAATTGTATTATTGTTGACAATAGAGAGTGCCAGTGACTTTGACTGCAACTCGATGTTAAGACAAGTCAAGTCAAGGTGAAGCTGATTAAAAGAGAAAACAGCTGCACATTCCCTCCTAACCACAATGTTTCGAGCCCAGTCAGAGCTTCATCGGGGTCACAATCACTACTAATAGGCTGATGACAGATGTGGTTATGGTGAGACTGCAGTTCCATAAATTTTGAAAATGTTGTGGGCTAGAATAAGCAAACCATATGTGATTGGAGGAGACCTCATGAACTCAACTCTGTAGCCTAACACATTTGGGTGGCCACACAATGGTGCTGCCTGGCTGATAGAATAACAGACTGCAATGAAGCTTTTGTCCAGGAGTAAATCTGTTTCTCTGCCTGTGATTGATTTCTGTTTTGTGATGGAATTATTTTTTGTTTATGATTGTTGATCATTATTGCAAATGCATTTTCAATATTTCTTACTCTATAAAACTATACCTAAAAATACAAATATCTCAGCATGATGTCACATTGTGCAAGTTTGACCAAGTATCTGATGGTGCAATAAAAACCAATCAGCAGAACAGGCCAAGAAATGTATAATACATCTGCCTTTCAATGATACTGAAGTTGGGATTTGTCCTTTAACATTCCGTGATCAGCACACAGGCACAGTGTGATGCAGCTGTTCCAGTGACAGGAGGTGTAATGATCATTGAGATTCACAGTCACCACTGCTTTCCATCAGAACCAAATGGTTATTCTACACTGCACTAAAACACATGAAGTTATATGATGTGTTTGCTGAATATGTTTGCTTACACTAGGCTATAATATTTTACTTTTACCTTTTTTTTTTTTTTTTACCATTTCACTGTAGGCTGTTGTGCATTTTTCATAATTAAGAAAACAATTCTGTAGAAATTAAATACATTCAAATAAATGTACGACAAAGAACTTTTGCCATGACAGCTAAATATCTTACTCGTTGTGTTGTACTTCACCCCGTTGATGTACTCAGGGCAGGGTCTCTCTACAATCCTCCCAGTGCTGCTCCGCGGCCAGCAGGTTCCAATCTCATCTGTTGTGGCATTGCAATAAAAACCTTGGGGGGGGAAATAAAAAATAAAGTACAACAACAAAAAAAATCTGACGCTTATAGTTTCCATCATTCAACACGCAACACCTATCAATATTCAACATAAAAAAGGAAGCATCTTACCATCAGTGCTCAACAATGACAAGGACGCGTTTTCCAAAAAAGTGTCTTGGAAAGCGTCTATCAAACTACAGTTTAAGTCCCCGAGCTCCCCAAATATGATCTGATAAATGGTAGCATCCATACTGCGAGCCGTCGCTTTAAATAATGAGAGATTAATTCCAAGTCCGAGAGGAGATGGACACACTGAGCCTAGCGGTGTTCATGGGCTTGTGAATCGGAGCAACAGTAATGACAAGTAGCGAGCGCAGTCCTCCTGCTGGGAGCCGCGTGCCTGGCCAATCAGAGCCGCGCATCCGCTCCTCCATCCACGTGCTGCAGCAACCCGGTGAAAGGCATCCGACGAGCCAAACTGACCAAATCATTGGCTTTGTCATTCTGACATTTCACACCTGCCACCCACGGGTCGATGCGTCTATTCATGAGGAAAAATGTTAAGCATTCAGGTGGGGAAAGTAGAGAGAGAGAGAGAGAGAGAGAGAGAGAGAGAGAGAGAGAGCCTATAGAAACAGAAATATGTATAGCTCATACCTGTTGATGCCCGAAATATCTCCTATGTGTAGACCTAAAGATATGAAAAAGGAATCAATCAGCTCATGTGCAAAGTACAACAAAAATAATGTAGGCTGGTAGGTTCAATTTAATTTCATTTAATTGGTCGATAGCTTCCAGCATACAGGTAAAGTTGCATAATGAATATGTCTGGGAAGATTAAGCCATGCATGTCAGGAGATAAAGTGCTAAAAAAAATCATAAGCAGGAGGACTTAGAGATTGCTCATCCATTTCCTTTGATTTAGCACATCTAGGTAATGAAGACATCAGTGAAATGTTTATGCACTCCCTAGGAATTAGCCTACATCCATATTTGATAAATCTGCACAATTACACGCAATGTGCAGTTTATGTATCAGGAAATAGGTGTGAATGCCAAGTGGAGGGAGGTATAGCATATTCACCGTTCATGGTTGAGACATAATCATTCCCTGACCTTGTGTTTTAGTTGCCTAAACTTAAAGCAAATGTAGGTAAAGTTGAACTGTCAAGAGGAAGTTTGCAAGTACTCAATTAATAAAATCCCACTTCCTCCCTTCAGGTCTCTCTCCAAAGCCACTCCCCCAACACACATGAACTTGCAGTGCCTGAGAAGAGCACAGCACATCCTTGTCATTGCTAACCATATCCCGCTTGCAGCTTTTTTGCCAAAAATGCAAAATGCAATATGTTTGGGCAAAATCTGGGGTATCCCATTTTATATTGAGGTTCTAATCTGGTAAAAAGTTTAAATATGCACTACTGTTTTCTAAAGACCAAAGCAGCTGACTGTTAAATATGACAGTGAGATGTAAAATCAGAGTCTGGAACTCAAACTGTCCCTTAATGACAAAACACAGTAAGTCTTTGTCACTGCCTTCTTTTATCTGCAGAGGGAGTGGGTCTTCCTCTACAGAGTCCGCCATGTTGTTTCTACAGTAGCCCAGAACGAACAAACCAAACACTGGCTATAGATTGGGGCTGACACATTTCACATTTTTCACGAGTTTCACAGCCTCTGTAGTTTCTCCTAACCCATTTCACAGCCTGTTCTCATTCTCAGGTTGTCAAATACAGACGTGAGCAGTGTTCAGTTAGTTGCAATCTGCAACTTCACCGCTACATTCCACTAAATCCTACACACTGGACCTTTCACCATGACAAACACTGACGTTTTTCTGGTTCTACCAGTCAGCAATGCTGAAATACAAACAAATGTGTGTGTCCGGTAAAGAGAAAACAGCTTTAGAAAGAATGAGAGTTCTTTAAAAACATGGCTTTCCCCTGAACATTACATTTGTGATTTTAAAATGTAAAAATAATTATGACATAACAGCAGTTCAGTACTCCCAACACTTAATCATTTTCATAAAACTGCAAATTATAAGGTTGAGTGACTCTCCTCTCTAAAAATCAGCGTGTGTGTGCACTTGAGAGCAGATTTAGCTCAGTATACAGTGTAAGAGTCTCACTATGTGTCACATGAAATCCAAAACCCTTCACAGCACAGTAGAATGCAACACATTAGTTAATGGATTATATGCATAAACGCTTGTCAATATAGCCAAACATTTGCTGTTGTCATTAACAGAGTGACCTTTACTGAGATCTTCTGACCTGGCTATTTATGGCTGTTCCTGCAAAACTGTACCATGACTATTCTTTGTACCAATTTTCTTATATATTTTTTTTAAAATGCAAAACTAAATATAGAAATATAAAACTGTAGATATACCAGTATATAAAATATTCTAAATCATGGCTCCAATACTAAAACATTTCCAATGAAAAGTGTCTAGACTAGACATGTGCCTCATAACTGAGTCTAATATCTTGGCTGTTTACCTGTTAAATTTGAGACGCGACCTTTTCACCAGCGTGAGGCTTTCTCTCTGAGCCCCCTCTAAGCTTCCACATGCAGCTCTCCATTTCATTTTACCTCCCTGTGCTTTCAGATCACGTACTCAGAGATCGCTAACACAGTGCTAAGTCCAGCATCTGAATGTTGACTTGACCGCGTGATGAATAATGTTATAATTGCCCCCCGCTAATAATAGTATACCAAAAAGTTAATTAATTCTCCCATAGCACCCCCTCAGAACTACATTGCTGTCTGTGATGGGAGGAAAAAGGCCTCAATATATTATCCAATATAATATATGTTTGGCCAACATAATAAAATGGTGAAACTACAGCCACTCTCTAACAATTGTACATGAACAGTTATGACAACCATCAAATGATGACAAAAATAAACAGAGAGCTAGCACTCTTGCACCTTTGTGATCATAGTGCACACTAATGCTATGTAGTTGGTGTAATTGTAACTATAGCTGCTGTATCTAAACTGCCCTTTTTCCTTGACATTACATTTATATGTAACAAATTTGCAACAGTAAATATGTTTTGAAGGAAATGTAGAGCCAAATGGATTGTGTTTGCTCTAAACGCAATGAGGAAATGTTGTTAACTGCTGTATCTGGCAAGTCCACTGTACTGGAATACAAACCCCAGTTTGGTTTGTACATCCTGTGTTTTATACAGCCTGTAGTCCAGCCCAACTGCCTCCCCGGAACTCTTGTTAAAAATGTGTCATCACAATGTAATTAGGAAAGCAAGTTTGTACGCTATGCAATTTGCAAATAAAATATAAAAACAGGATGAAAAAAAGTTACCGTCCTCTGTTCACCCACAAAAGTTATTACACAAAATATAATTTCCCCTAAGCCAAAAGAAAAAGTACAATAGTATCCCCCCCACTTTCCTGTCCCACCCTCATAACAAAATGTTTTTCAAAAAATATTACATGCATCATCTGTATTCATATTTTTAACTAAAATGTATATATTGAAAGTGCTGTAAGTGAAATATGCATTTTGGCTAACTTCTTGTCCATTCTTTCAGTTAACAGTCCTTTCCCTCTACCCTACATCTTCACACTGAAAGTCAGCTGCCCCTTGAAGATCTCTCCTGATACGGAATACCAGAAAATGTATTCCCTGTTTACTGCAGAGACCCCTCTCTCTAAATTGACTGGGAGACCCATGTTACTGACTGAACACCCTATGTTAGTGATGGCTGTCAGAATGTAGAGCTATTAAACATTTATTTTAATAAGAAAATATTGCTTATAGCCCCTTTAATTTCATATATCGCATTTCAAATTTCACATTGAGATACTTTGCGGCTAACTTAAATTTGGCATAAACAGAGTCTTGTACTGATTAATACAAACAGTTTGAAAAATTATCATATAAACTTATTTTGAGTGCAAAACTGCACTCCCCTGGGCTTATTATTCCTAGAGGTAAGGGAATTGTAATGATATAATTGTAATAATGAGAAACTACTTGAAGAGCATATTTGTAAAATAATGTGCAATATATCATGCTGCAGAGGATTTCAGCTCAGCAAATATGTGTATCTTTAGGAGAAAATAGAGAATAATAAGATATATTTTTCTTCTGCCTACATGACATTACATGATACAGTATGCTTCCATGCTTTTAGTAACCACTGCCCTTTGTCTGAACAACAGAGGATTCACTATGAGCTAAGATGAGGGACATTTCATCAGGGTTGCATGGACCCAAATCATGCATCTATTAGCCTCAGATCTGTAGTTCTGCAACTTGAGAATTCCCAAAGCATTTAAACCTAATCCCACTCTACTAAACCCATCCATGGGTTGTGTGCTGATTTATAAAAGGGTGTTGGTTTTATGTGGGATTTCTCTGGCGATTTCTGAGCCTTAGGGTAATTGATGACTCAGGGTAATGACTAATCAGATGTACAGTGGACCATAGTGCAGAGATATAACTTGTGCTTACTATTGATTTTCACTTGTGCTTTTTGATTTTACAAACTAATTCTTCTGCTGAAGAAAAAAACTGTTGTTTTCTGTTTTGTTGCCACTGGCATGTTGAAAGCCCTTTGAAGGAAATCCTTTACCCCTTGAGTCTAGTTGACCTAATTTGAATGAATGTAATTTCTGCAACTGAGCATTTGTGCATAATAAAGAAAGGCATTTTTGTCTCCTTTGGCTGACAAAAGCTGAGCCAAACTCCAAAGAGTTGAAACCTGCAGGCCAGCTAACTGTCAAAGGATCATGGAGGTGTTGCTCGAAGCAAGAGCACGGCATGGAGAAACCCACTGAAGAGAGGCAACAGGACGGGGGCAAACACAAAGTGCACCTTGCAGCTTCTGAATAACCTAAACAGTTCAGAACAATTGGCTAAATGAGACATAACAAAACAATACCCTTGGCTAAATACAACAAAGGGTAACAGTGATATGTTTAAAATATAAAAGTCAAGACGAGATATAAAGCACACTGGCATGATTTGATTAAGCTTTAACTTGACTCCTTAGAGTATAGAAGGGCAAAATAATCGCACAAGTCATCTTGAGAAGGTCTGCATGACTGCGAGGTTTAGTGTGAGCTACTTACTGAACTCTGTGAAATGGCAGCTGCCGAATAAATATCCTCATGCATGCACAATTGTACAGGCCTCAAGGTGACTTAATCAAAGCTTAAAGCCGTTTGACAGTGCAGCTCAGCAGTCACATACTGAGGCCTGCTCAGGTGGCAAAAGTGATAAGCCCAGCTCATTGTAGCTTTTTGACTCCCAGTTCATTTGGCTGAGGATGTGAGCAGTCTGAGTGAGAGTCCAGTCTGTTTATGCCCTGCTGCTAGCCATGACCTACTACTCTGAGTCATTGTGCAACAAAACATTAGAACGGCATGTTGAACACGTGCCTCATGGAGGAAAACCTTTGACCACTCCACTGTGTCTGAACTTGGTGGCAGTGCTCAGATACACAGTAGCAGTGGTTAAACCCCCCAGTTCATTGCTCTGTGTAATAAGACCATGTTAAAATACTGTAAATGAGCTCTCTGGGGGCTGAAGCAGGCAAGTGTACTACAATTAATATGCTAAACTAAATTACCTGTTGTCTCTGTAAATATCTGCCTACATCGCAGTGCGAACTCTGTTTCCACGCTGTGCTATGTGCTATCACAAGCAGAGAACTGTCCATGTATTGTGAAAGGTAAATTGAAAGCACATATCTTATAAACAGTGTTTGCTAAAGCAGATCATTATAGTGTGCTGAGCTCAAACAGAGACACTGCAAATCCAACTGTTGCACTGTAGATAAACAAATGGATTTGCACTGTTGGTACTGGCTTTCTGACTCACATCTCTTTGTTGTATACTGAATTTTCACCCAGCCACATTGTGAATAAGGACACAACTCTGAATGCAGATGAATCTTGTTAGTAAATACATTTAATTAAAGGAAAACGTGGAAAAATAACAGAATTGATTGCTACAGAACTGTTTTTACCAAGCTGTTCTATTTTTTGTTCTATTTAAGTGATTTTTACATTGATTAGTAATTAATAAGAAATAATGTGTCTTTAAACATACATATTAACATAGTGATAATAAAATAATTACATTCAGTGGGGTAACTGCTTGTTAGTATGTGGTGTGTATGCACTGTTTTGTGTGTGGGTGATACACATGAATGTGTAGTTCGTGTGTGTGTGAGGCTTTGAGGATAGCACAAAAAACAAAAAGACGAAAAGACCACATCCATGAGAGTGAAATTGTGCCTTGCCCAAAAACAAAAATGGAGAGCGAGTAGCCTGAGGTTGTTCAGTTTGTAAAACAGAACAAAAACACATGTTCAAGGAAATGAAAACTGTAGGTATAGGAAGCAAGTCCATAATGAGACGAGTCCAACTCTGTGGGTGGAGAGTGAATTTTCTCCCACTTCCTCCATCTCTCACCCCAACAAATACACTCCGAAGTTCAGCTCAAGCTTGGACTTTTTATCCCAGTTGATGTGTTTGTGCTGTTTGTTCTTGTCTATTTATGTGCATGCATGCCCTCATGAGTCTGTGCGTGTGTGTGTGTGTGTGTGTGTGTGTGTGTATTTGCATGTGGTTTGCTTCTTTGTCACTTTGAGGATAATCCAAGTGGTTGTTTTTTCAACATGGAGTTCAAGTGGATGATCTGAAATGACTTTTAGTAGTTTGTGTTATTACCGGGGCTTTTTGGAGTCTGAAGTGTGAGTTATTAGGGTGAAGATGAGAAAAGACTTGTCAGCTGCTTTCTTTGCTTTTCTAAAGCCTTTGTCTCAGTGTGTACTTTTTTCTCTTTGAGTAATACAGAGAGCATAGGCTTACAGCACACCTTACAAGAACGGTGCTACCTGAATAAACATATTTGTCTGTTACTGTTTTATTCTTTATGGAATTAATCTTCTCACATCGCTGCTGTAAGTTGCTATCAACCCTGGTCTCAGAAAACAGTAGTAGTACTTTAGTATATGTTGCACATACATCTGTTCTGAAAATACAAATTTGTATTAAGCTAAATATATCAAAATGGTTTTAAAGGGAATTTGCACAGTACAATATTGTATCTTAAATTACATGTCTTATTCTGTGTTCTTGTGGGACATCTTAGGAACACAGGCAGCACAAAACGTTTGTATACTACCTGCTCTGTTAGTAAGTGGTTAGTCGAACTCCAACACTGAGCAAGCCAAGGACGATCAAATATTTTTCAGTCTGGAGAGACTAGAAGAAGAAGAAGGGCTGTAGGAATAAATAAATTAATGCATTTTGTTTAGCGAGCACATTTATAGTTTTTACGGGGGAAGTCACGTTTTAAGCCTTACAGGAATATCCCTGGAGTCTAGACTCTGGTGGGGATGAAAGAGTGAAGAACAAACCCAGCTGAAGATGTGGCAGAATGTAATATGAAGCCCAATGGAAGCTTTGGCCAGCAGAACCTTGAGATGAATGAGGTGGGTGACACTGATCTGACACTAATTGGCAGCTGACAGCAGCAGAGACAGGAACTGTTTGACAGAGTTACCAAGATGACTGGCTCACAAGGGTCTCTGCAATATCTGATTGGTTGAAGTGAAGTGAAGTTTGGTTTGTCCGCTCTGGGTAACTGTAGAAAGGTGGTTCAATATGGCGGACCCCACAGAAGGCAACCCGTGGCATCTGTAGATATAAAAGGCTCCTTCTAAAGTAACAAAAACATTGTAATTTGCAGGTGATTATACACTAATAAAAACATAATAAAGCATATTGTATTCCATATCTGCCAATAGATCCTAAATGTTACACACTGGACCTTTAAGTTGTATGACGTGCACAGTTACCTCTCGACATTAAAGTTAATAAATAAATGTCACACCGTGGTTTACTTTAATTGAACGTTATGTGTTTTTTGTCCTCCACTAACCAAGCAAAGGCACTTCACATAGATATGCAGTTGTTTGTAACCTGCAGGCTACATGGCCCACTCTATGCCTTATTTATTTAAAGGACCTATCTGACTTCACGTCCTCAAACATTCTTCACACACGGCACCACAACATTGCTAAAGAGAGCATGCTTAGCTTCAGGTTCAGGGTTAATTTAACTCACCCCTCTCGAGGAGCAGCCGGCCTCACTCTGACCCTTGTTGTTTAAATGAGCCACAATTACCACTGCATTGTTAATTCTTTCTGCAACCTCAGGATGCATCTAATATAACAGAACACTGAAATAAAAACTGTGTTTCAGAGTTTGCTCTTCCCTAAAGGAAACCAAAGTTAATTTTGAGCATGAAATTATCACTCAAATGCAATGTAAAAACATAGCTGGTAGCACAAATTAAGCTTGGTTTCATTTACATAGTGCTGCTCAATGCTTTCTAATTTTATAGTAATCAGCAATTTGATGTTATTTGATCAACTACTCAATTTGTCTTTTTAAAGTGGGGAGGAGGTGCAGTGCGCTGCCAGGGAAGGCATTATAACTATTAAAAATATTTCCTCACTTATCTAAATGTATGTAATTCAATAAACAAAACCTCCCAGGCTGGAGAGGATGCTGCTGTTTGGAGAAATTCTCATACAGTATCATAGGAAATGCCACTCTGTGAGGCTGCTTGTGGGAGTTGGCATGTCAGACATTACATCTGCTCACTGAGGATGAAGAAATATGTTGATCGCAGCAACTTTATTTCCCAGAGGCTGATTCCTTCCATGAGCTTCATCATAATATTGTATGCTAGACTGACACGCCCTGGGTGCCTTTGTGAAATTGCCTGACAAAGAGCACCGCCTTCCGGGATGTCAATCCCACATGCCTCAGATTAACTTTGCGTGCATTGGTTCCAAGGGCTTTTTTTTAGATGTCAAACTGTTGGAAATTGTTTTGTTGCATGAGATGTCTGTTTTAGACGCTTCTTGGGAGCACAGTGGAATAGCAAAGCTACATATTACCCAAGGTCAAGACTCATTTTGGCTGTGTGCCTCAATTGGTGACACAAGACATAGACTGTGATGCTGTCAGAGCTCTTATTCAAACCTTCAGAGACTTGAGACATCTGCTGCTCCTCATCACTCAGTTAGAGGTGGTATTATGTGATCATGTCAAATGTAAGCATTTTCATTAAAGATTAACTCTGTATCCAGAGGACCTTGGCCATTTGGCGTTTCCCAGGTGTGAGTGGAAGCACTGCAAATGTAATTGTAGCAACAAATGAGTTCATAGCAGAGAGTCTACCCTAACGGCACGCTGGGGACAGAAGTGGATCTTGGGATATCTTCTGGGGCTGAATGTCTTAATGAAACACCATAAATTGAGCAGATTTCTCTGGTTTGCTGGCAATGTATTTAAACACTGAATGACTTAGGATCTCCACAACAATGTTTTGTCCTTGTCAGAGGTTTGGTAAAATGTTTCTTGATTTTTCTCTGAAGCAGTATTTTCCTCTGGAGGAATATTTGCACAGTTGACTACATGCATCATCAATGAAGAGTGAATGACAAACATCAGCCACCAGGAGGATCAGACTACTCTTAGTGTTCACCCTTTCCCTAATGAGTTTGTGTATTTGTAACTGCAAAAAAGTCAAAATGATTTCATGAAGCACAATTGCGGATTGAGAAGAATTATGGAAATCCATATTCAACATTGATATATTTCTTACCCTATAAAGTTAATACGGCAAATGTGCTAGCTGTTTTCTGTTTACAGATCCAACAGACTCAGTGCAACAGAGCACTCATTTGGAGTTGTGTTTTTAGCCACCAGAAGAATGTAGCTTTAGAAATGCTTTAGTAAAAAGAGAATGCACCATTTTCTAAGGAACCCCTTTTCTATGATTGAGTGAACTAATAACTTATATTATATTCAATAATAGTACAACTGTACAATTAATCCAAAAGATAACACAAAACACAATAACTGCATGGAGTTTGTGTAAAATTAGCTATTTGGATGTATTTTGGGCAGACTATTTCCTTCAGTGAATAATGCATCAGAGATGAGTTTTCCTGTTATTATGATGATTTTTTTTATAAAATTCTCTGTATTATTTATTTGTAACAATAATACATACTTAATGTACTTATTTATATTGACAAATTCAGTGTTTTCTGCTCATTCCTCTCATGCTTTCTAACAGGGCTGTTGAGAGTGAAGGCTCTGTGAATATAGCTTGTGTTCAGGTTTTGAACGTTTATATCTTAAATAACAACCTAAACTTCATAATAACAATTTAATTAGGTTGTCTTCCCCAAGTTGGGAACCACTTGGTTACAGGGATATGATTACTAGTACAGGGTAACAGCATCAGTATTTGA